CGTAGCGCGCGGTAACTTTTAGCCGAAGCAGCATTTATGCGGAAATTGTAATAAAATTGTCTTTTTTGAAATACGGTCATACAGAAAGAATGTGAAACATTTTTTCTCTAAGGAGAGGGAGAGAGTCATCCCGTAACACAGCCACGGCTGTAGCAAACTCGCAAAATTTGTCAGCTGCTTTGACAGCGCTAAAATGTTGCCTTACAATGGAAAGAGAGTTGAATCTTTTTAGAAAGCTTTTGTTTCAGGATCACTTTTATGAGAGTGACCGGTCAGAAACGCACGGCAGCCGACATATCGGTGACAGCGAGGATGATGATTTGGTTGAGGAGGATGAGAATACAGAACCACCGTACAGTGGAACAGTCACACCAACTACCACTTTGAAAAGAGCCAAGGAAAGCTTTCTGCTACGGCAGAATGTGATTTTCAGGGAATACGAGGAGGTAATTTATAGGCTTAATTTTTGTCTTTGTCAATTTATGCAGATTAGCGCAATTCTCGGTCACTCGATAAGGTGAAATAATTTTTTTTTTCTTTGCAATTCGAATTTTTTTTTTCAGCTTGAGTCGAACGAAGAGCATGGAAGATGTGTTTCACGGCATAAATATCTGCGTTTTTCCATATCATAAAAAATTAATTACCCGATTTTCCAAGTGAAAACTCCTGATTGATTTGCAGCAAGTGATGGATACTGGTGCTGAAGGATCTGGTCAAGCACACGAAAGCGATGCCGGTGAAGAAATCCCAAGTGGAGCCAGTGATTTGGAGGAAGAATCGAGAAATCTGGCGGATGAGGAAGAACTTCGGGATTCTTCTAAAGTACTTTTTTAAAATTTTTATACTTTGACAGAAAAAATATTGTCGGGTCGTAGAGTAGTCGTAAAATAATCGTAGTCGTAGAATAATCGTAGAGTCATTTCTAAGTTTAGGCGACACTAATCAGCCTCGTGATAGAACTATGAAACAGTCTTACGAAGGCAGTAATTAGAATATTAAGTTTTTAAAAAATATAAATTTAGTGATCTTTTCAAAAAAAAAGGTCGCTGCCCTATTTCTTGGATCTGTTTCTGTTGTTGGTCACTTTGTTACATAATTTCTACCAGAAAAGAAATTTAAAAAGTTCATGCGCAACAAATCTGAGGAACTTTTTCAGGAATACATCGAATTTTCGACAGGTCATTCGGAGCGTACCTCATCATATTCGCTTTCCTCTGGAACGGAATCACCTCATCCCGTAGTTGCTCCAGCAGTTCCGGAGAATTTTCCTGCTGAAAAAGATGGAAGTCATTCGAACTGATTTTTCTTCTGTTGGTTATGGTTGAGTTTTTTTCAGTTCCTTCCTCGCTTCTTTCAGGTCATCTCAATTTTACATTGTTTGTAGCTGCTCTCAACTTGTAAACAGATGCCTTTTTTGGCCAAGGCATTTGTTTTTCAGAAAAGAGAAGGAATGTTTTGAAGGGATTTTCAAAGCTTGAGAAAAAGCCATTGGTTTACGGGACGGCCCTTTCTGGCGAAATTCAAAAGAGAAAAAAGAGAGAGCTATAAAATCGTTTGTTGTGTTATCGGAAAGCCATTGCCTGTGTACTTTGTTACGTTGGTATTTTATTCGTTTTGCTGTAATTGTTTTCGGAATCTGCGGTATACATCATGGTCTATGCTGCATTATGTTTGTTCATCCATTATTCTCACTTAAATATTTTCACTCTCAAAATTTTGTCGCATTCCTCCTCCACAAAAAATTGTTACTGTAACTTCTGCAAATGTAAAATGAATAATCTATAAATAGCAAAAATTTTCTGGCAAAAACGGTAGTGAGCTAGATTTTTTTTGCCAGATCTGTGTCGTGCCTTCGAGAGTTTCGATTTTTGGTTCAGATTTCTGAAGCTGACGCTGACCTCGTAACGGTGTCAGCTGAATGGCTTCAATACCTTCTAGATAAAAAAGAAGCCTCCTGGAAATTCTCCATAGCCTGGTTCACCTCTGCTGTGTCGCATTTTGGATGACTGGGCTCAAGGCCTGTCGCTAGTAAAAGCAGTCTATGCTCGTTGCTTCGTGAGGACACGAGATCAGTACCGGCGTAGTTAGCACATTGATAACTATGGTCACGTGTATGCTTACTTCTCGGGCTTTTCGCATACCATTGGTAGCATATTGTGCAAGTTTTTTTCTTGAGAACAAGTATCTCCAGGACAGAAAGGACGAGTTTTAATAATTCCGTTTTGCTGATTCATTTTGATCTTTCTCTCATTTTGCCGGGTTCGGTTCCATGAACGATTGATCTGTTTGTATGCAGAATTCCATTCTTTGTTGGGTTAGCACTTTTATGAATTGTAATTAAAATATGTCCAAAGTTTCGCTTCGTTAACATCGAAGTTGAAAATGGTGCGAAACGATGACATATTTGCGGACAGATAGCGGATGGTGTTAACTTGGAAGAATTTTACAGTGAACTGAAGAACGTGTTTATCATCCACATCACTTTAATGTGTTCTATGTATAAAAAGTGTTGAAATAACAGCCGTTTCATGGATCGGGTACGATCGGACTTAAATAGCCAATATTCATATTCTGATGACGCCGCTGACGCAAAACCTTTGTGAGACATGAATCGATGGATATGAATAACGTAAAGTGTTGTGTTTGAATGCTAAGAAGTATTAGATGTGAGTGAGTGGTATGACAAAAAGGAAGTAAATCATTGGCGATGCGCACTGGGTGGTCTCGTGCGGATTATGCGTTTTTGCAGTATTTCATGCTGTTGTAACATCGCTTGGAGTCCCAGTAGTTAGAATTTATGAAATACTGATCCTCGAAGTTCAGGAAGTTAATTGTGCAACCACGTGGTACTTGGTCAGGGAACGTCCGCTCCAAATTTCAGCTTTTCAGCTTTCCTGCTTCCCGAGTCAGCGATATCCTCGCCGAAAAATTTGACGGGCCGTGTGTAAGAACCGCACACTCCTGGGGCCTAAGTCTTCAGACTTTCAAGTTGTGTTTGGGCTAGAGACGTCCCCTCAAAATCTCAGCTTCTTAGCTTTTCTGGTCCCCAACTTAGTGATTTTCGCGCCGAAACTTCCACATACTCCTACGCAGGGCCAAGACATGCACTTTTCTAGGGTGGCAGCTGGAAGAAAACTCACTGGTAAAATTTCAGCGTCGAAGCCTACTTGGTTGTCGAGCTGAAATACCCGGACAAACGTATACACACAAATATATATATACAGGGGGTCATCACAACATGCGCCTTCTTTGCATTTGCATATATGCAAGTCCTCGTAAAAATCAACACATAAGCAGTGTTAAAGCGTTATACACTCATTAGTTCTTGAATTTGCAAATTTGTTGCTTCATATACATTACGTACTCATATGCACGCATTCACACCAATATGTGCATGAATATTCGCATACGTACATTTGAATATCTGCGTGTTAGAGAAATATGTAGATGAATGCACGCTTATATGTATGTGTGCATGGGGCATAATGCAGCAAATTTGCATCTTCACCAGCATTTATGCAAAGTTTTCGAGTCTACATGTACGCATATTTTTTGCCT